CCAGTATACAGGCTTCTGCCCTGTATTCAAAATTTATGAGCCAAATCCTGCAGAAACAAGGGCAGTGGTTTTAAAGAAAAATCACCCCAAACTGGGATTTTTGTTGATCTGTATGTTTTCCCTCTGGGTCTTTCAGCCTGCTGAGTGTTACTGGACCAGAGTTTTCCATAACCATGAGAGGTACACATTTTCCTCTAAAAAAACCCTCTGAAAGCACATGGGATGGTAACAAAATTCCTGGTGTTGGAGAGGCTTTGGGATTTGGCGGCAGCTGAAGGTGGTTGCATGAACAGCTTTTGTCAGCTGCAAACTGAGGTGTGGGGTTTGTTAAGAAGGCAGTGGCTTTGGTTTAAGAGTCTGCTGCACCCCACTTTGGAGTGTCCTGAGTGAAGGAGGGAGAAGATTGAGTTCTTGGCTTTGTGTGTCTGTGGAGGTGTTTGATGGGTTCTGTTGTATTTATCCTTTGGGGAATTTGGAGGTCTCCTGTGTCTCCTGTGTTGGTGTTGCAAGCCTGGCACTGAGTGTAACTGGAGACTGCTCTCCACAGCATGTGGGGTTTGTCTTTTACAATGTGACCCGAGTCCTAACTTCATCCTCTAGGAGTGAACTGTGTGCAAAGAAGTACAATAATATTCCTTGTCTGAGATAGTTTGACTTTTCCTCTTGCCTTGCTTGTTTCTGAAGAGATAACACCACAGTTATGATTCCACAAACTTGCCCCCTGTGCTCAGCATTCTGCAGCAGAACACTTGCAGAGCCCAATCTCAGAGCAGTCCCAGTCCTGGTAGGAAAGCCTGGCTTGTGTCAATAAGGTCATTATAGATCCTAAACCTTTCCCAGCCTTCTGCTGGGGTGATTGACCTTCTGAGGAGTTCACTTGGAGCCTCTGAAATCACACAGGTCTCCCACTGTGTCGATCAAAGGAAGCAGCATTCTGTGATGAGGTAAGGCCTATCAGGATGTCAACAAATAAACTGGACTGCTGGCCAAGCAGTCAGAGTTTATGTTAGATCTCAGGTGGATGACAACCACGCACTGCTATTATTATGGAAAACATCATATCTGAGACTATATTCCCCTGGCCCTGTTCCCCCAGGTGCTGTATCTGCTTGGAGACTCTTTCTGCTTGAGCAAGGCTCCATGGAGAGGAAGGAAATTGCTCCAGAGCTGAGGCTGGACATGAGCTATGCCAGTTGTCCTAGCAGAGCTTGCTTGTAGCTCCTGCAACAGGAGCAGCTGTAAAAATAATCTACAGCTTCTTTTTTCACCTCTTCTTGGTCACTGTTTGATTTCCTAGGGGACTTAGGTTGCCTGGAGAAGCTGTGGTTGCCCCATCCCTGGAAGTGTCCAAGAACCAGGCTGGATGGCACTTGGAACAGCCTGGGACAGTGGAAGGTGTCCCTGCCATGGCAGGGGGTGGAGCTGGATGAGCTTTAAGGTCCTTCCAACCCAGACCATCTGGGATTCTCTGACATCCCCTGAAAACACCAATTCCCTAGTGCTAGTGCAGGTGGGGCAAGCTGGCTCCAGCATTTGTTCCCATCCCTCCAAACCCATCCTGAGTGCCAGCTGCTCCCCTCCTCCCCTCCCACACCCCTTCCTGGGGAGCACAGGCTGCAGCCCTCCCCAGGTGTACTTCCCAAAAGGCCTTTGCCTGTGTCTTGCATACAAATTGCTGCCATTTAGGGTTTTATTTCCCCTCAGCTGAATTATTGTGAGAATTTCAATTTAGCAAGAGAGAAGCCTCAAAAGTGTAGCTTCTGTGTCCAGGGGGAGAGATTGTTGCTTTTAAGTTTTTCCTGAAAAGTGCAGGTGGCAGAAGGAAAGCCCATGCACCCAAGCCAGCAGCTGGCACAGCAGCCTCCTGCTTGGCTCCTCTCTGCCATTTTTGGGATACTCAGGTGCTGTTTCAGAGCACACCAACAAATTTTTCACTGCCAGTAAGCCTGCAAGGAAAGACTGCTCTGCGTGGGTGACTATTTTATTTTCTTGCCTTTTTTTTTCCTTTCCCACCCCAGCCAGAGCCTTGGCACAACTTCTGGCTCTCCTACGTTGCCATCTGACAGCAGCGCATGCCTTGTGTGGTGCTTGGCACCTGCAGAAGGGCACCTTGGGCATGGCTTTGGGTGAGGGATGGTGAAGCCTCTGCCCTGCCTTAGGGATGTAGCAGCCCTGGATTCGTGTGTGATATCCCACCTGGGGCTTCTTCCTCCGGGCCCTAATCAGGAGCTCCTCTCTGCAGAGGAGAGAGCAGGAAAAGGAAAACCAAAATTCAGGTTTCTGCAAGATGCACCGTGCATGCACCAGCCTGCTTTCAGTGGCTGCAGGGGGATACCAGCATTGTTTTACCTCTTATTTTTGAGACCAGGCAGAGCTCACTAGTTACTTGTCATTGCAAATGTATAACATCCAGCTCTTCCCCTCTTCTCTTAAAAAAATTGCTTTAAAAATAATCTACTTTTTTTTTTCCCCATTTTAACTGAAGGAGGTTCATTTGTCACTCAAACATACTTGATGGTTAGCTGCATGCATGTGTACTTCTCAGTTTGCTTAGAGGGCTGTGATAATCCTTAAATCTGCTTTTAAGCCAGCCTGGTCTTCCCATCTTGTCTGCTGTGGGCAGCTTGTGGCAGCCTGAAGTTTAAACGGCTGGGGGCACTCAGGGACGGGCCATTACCACATTTAAATGTTTCTTCTAAATGCTAGGAAAGGCCTCAGCAGGGGAAAAAAATATTTGCATGCTTAATGAACTGACCAAGATAATTAATACACGCCCAGCTCCAGGCCTGCAGGGAAGGTACCAGAGTCAATGGATCCAGCTGTTATTTAACAGTGTAAAAGCTTTAGTGCTCCAGTGAGGTTAGGCATGCAGTGGGCTAATGTCTCTTATAGCTGAAATATTTGGGAAAAGCCATCCCAACTCTGCTAGAGCATCAGGAATCAGTAGATTTTTTTACTCCTGGCCAGAGGAGGCTGCCTGCACGGGGCAGAGTTTGTTCCTGCCTGGCCTCCCATGCCTGGGGCAGTGGATGGGGATGCTGAGCTTCTCCAGGTGCCTTCAGGAAAGTGCTGCTGGCTCAGGATCTGCCAAGCCTTCCCTGTGGGTAGACTGGAGGTGAAAAACAAGCAGGTTTGTTCCATGATGAACATGCCCACGTCTTGTCACACAAATGTGCAGCACGGATGAAAACAGAAAACAAGCTACAGATGGACACTGGCAACCTGTCGCTAAGCACAAGCCTCTAAATTCAAAATAAACACAATGCAGCAGCTCAGTGTGGTCTCAATGGGATCCGTGAATTTCCACAGTGGATGTTGTAATGTCCTGATCCTTGTTTGCACCTGGGACTTGATTTCAGTTCAGATTTCATCAGTGTGTAAAATAAATGCTTGAATGGGTTGTAAAGTCTTGTATTGGCTATTGGCTCCGTAGGGGAGTGTCCAAGTGCCAGTGAGGTAGAAGGCCCTTGGGAATCCCTGGGAGCTTGGCCGGAACTGGCTCCTGAAGGTGCCTTGATCTGTCCTGAGACGTGCAGATGCTGCCTATGTCATTCAAGAGAAGTTTCTTCAATCTTAGTAGACACTTACAACAAAGACATCTCAACTTCAAGGGCCTTCAAAAGGATTATTCCCATGCCTGTGTCCCCCTACTGTTCAGCAGTTTTTCCTTAATGCCTCTCCTTGGCCTCTGTTGCTGCAGGTGGCACCTCCTGCTTGCCCTGTCCCACAAGCAAGCTCAGAGAGAAGGCAGCTCTCCCCAGGAGGTCTGACAGGCAGCACACAACAGAAACAGCCAAAGGAAACCATGCAAATGTTGTTTTCCTTATTTCTGGAGGGCAGGAGTTGAGGCAGCAAAGGCATTTCTCTAGAACTGCAGCTCCTCTGGGCTGCCTCCCATGCAAAATTTTTTCTGGAGGCACTTAAGATTTGACTCCAGCTGCCAAGGATTTCTTCTCCTACCCAAGGAGATAAGAGCAGCTGCACTTGGCCAGACCCAAGCCCCCTCTTACCTGGTATTTCATCTTTGGCTGAGGATGCAAAAGCAGGCACTTTCCCCACCTGACCTCCCCACCAGCCAGACATCACCTGCACGTGGTTGCCAGAGCACCAAAAAACCCAGAGCCTGCCTCTCCTTGGACAGGGCTCCCAAATGGGCACAGGGTCCTGTGAAGATCCTTAGCTCTGAGCATTTATTTGTGTGGCACATGGATCTGTGTGTGTGCCAGAGTAATTAACTGAAGTGAAACATGTGCTCTTCCATTCTTACACGCTGTGGCTAACACAGAAATAAAGAAATGAAGATGACCATCAAAATGAATTATTTCTCTATTAGCAAGGCTCAGGGACTTCCCTCAGCTATGTAATTAATTTTAATTGTGAGTGAGTGACTCCTGTCAGAGCTTCAACTGAGATCTGCATCTCTCTCCCCCAAGGAAGACCATAACTATTCCTGCACATGGAGGTCTATGGAGAGGGAAGATTTTTTTCATGTTTGAAAATTTTCCAGCTGATGGAAATAGAGAAGCTCCTGCTGAGAATGCCCCTCTTCACCAAGGGACTGAAGGGGTCTCTGCACATCAGCGAGGAGCACAGTGTCTTGTACTTGGGTTTGCACAGCCAGAGACAGAAACCAGAATTAATACTCTGGTCCCACAAACCTTTTTTTCTCAAAAGCCCTGACTGACACCGGCCACCCCATGATGAGATGAGCGAACCTTGCAGATGCTCACACTTCTTCACATGTGCCTCACTTGGATCAGCTGGGTTTATTACCCTATCTCTGCTCCTTTAGGTGGTGTGTAGCCTCCAGCTGTGCCAGGAACTCCTGAGTACAGGAATACCTGCACAGAGAGCAAGTTACAGCAGAGGGAGGGGCAGAGGTCACGGAGGGACTTTGCTCTTCTCACTGCCATGAAGTTGCTGAAATTCCAGGACAATGACAGCAGCAGCTGGATGGTTTTCCCTGCCATTAACGGGTGCATTGTTTCTGGTCTCCCCAGCCTCACCAGGGATGCTCTGAGGTCCTCACCAGATGAGTTATCCATGGCTAAGCCTGGCAAAGGAGGTGCTCATGTGAGTGCAGCACAGCTGCACATGGGGTCAGGGAATGCCAGCATGGGAAACTTTGAGCAAGGCAGGTCCTGCACTCCTTTTTGTCAAGCAGGTAAGACTTCCTGTGTGACACACACAATTTTTAGCTATATGCATAGTAATTTAACTTAAAATGCATTTAAAAGGTCAAAGTGCTAAAGCGCAAAGACTTACTAAGTATAACTTTAATAATTACCCTTATGGAGAAAATACTTACACTGTCTTAGCTTTCATTTGCTGCTGAAATACCTTCTAGTGGCATGGGAAAAAAAAAAAGAACAAAACCCAAACCCAAACTATGCTATGTTTTAATTGCAGCCTGGCTTTTGATCAGATGTGTATTTTGAAGGGGGAAAAAAAAAAGAAAAAAGAAAAAAAAAGAGGAGAGGAGAGAAAAATGTGGCTTTGTGTGTATTCTGTGTTATATTATTATTCAGTAAGCCTTAAACCATAAAAGCTCCTACGGGAAGATTCATTATCGCATTAAGTACGAGATAGCAAGGGGATGCCTTGCTGGCAGCTGCAGACAATATGTTGCTGTTTTACTTTGTTTGGGTTGATCCCCCCCCACTCCCCTCTGGGGCTGCATGTTCTGGAGGAACAGTTTAAGACACAGTTGGATGGGGGGAAAAAGAAAATGAAAAAACAAAAAACAAACAAAAAACAAACAAACAAAAAAAGAAAATACCAAACAAAAAGAAAGAAAAAAAAAAAAGAAGAAGGAAGGCAGACAGAGGCAAGTGACCGCAGTGCAAAGCTCTCCCGCCCCACGCCGGCCATCCCTGCGCCCTCTTCTCCTCTGCAATGTTGTTTTCCCTCTTTCCCTCCCCTGGCAGTTCCCCTCCTGCCCTCTGAGAGGTTCCTTTCTATTCCTGGGGAGCTGCAGGCAGTGCTCCGGCTCTGCCAGGGAAAGGAATTTCTGGAAACAACCAAAAGTATTTGCAGAGCACCCAGATCTCCTAGTTGCAAGAAATGGGGAAATAAGTGTTTTCTTCCCTTAATCACTGATTTACAGTGGCTCAGCTTGGGGTGACTGATCTGAGCCAGAAGTGGGGAAAACAGGAGTGGAGATTTTGGAAAAGGCTCAACACCTGTCTTCTGACAGCAGGCAGGATTCAGGCATCTCTTATGGGATGCTCACTAATGAATAGCCTGGCAAGCAGGCTTCTTTTTAAATAACAGTGTAGTCTTCTCATAATGATGATACATTTAAAAAAGAAGATATTAAAGCCCATTTATTCTGCTTTGAAAAGTAAAATCCTTGCGACAGAGGCCTGTCTTGGATTGTTCTTTTGGCTACAAACCCCATTCTTCCTGCAAGGGAATTCTGCAGTTTCAAGACCGACTGGTTCCCTAATTTGTGTCTTTAAAAAAAAAACAAAACCAAAGATACATCACTTGCGCATTATATTTTATTGATGTTACTGTAAAATACATATTTGCTTGCATTCCTAATTGGGGAAGCACAGATGGCAGTGGCTTCTGCTGGAGTGATACACTCTTTAAAATATCTGGTAACATTACAACAAAGCGTAGTCATTAAAATAAGTGTCTGTGTGTGCTGCAGGATTTTCGTTCTTAGGAGCAAAGCTCTCCCCGTTTTAAGGAGGGAAGGCTTGGTTTAACCCCTGCCTGTGCTGGTACCTGGCATGCTGGAATAAATCCAGCACAGTGGGAGAAATCTGGCATGGTTCACCTGACGTGGTGCTGCTAAAACTGCTTGCTTGAGGGCAAATTTATTCTTTCTGCAGGAAGGTGTTCACAAGGGGGTGATGTGTCCACAGGGTCTGGAGTTGGTAGAAGGTGCAGATAAATTTCTTTTGGTGTCGTGTTTGCAAGAGGACGGTATCTGAGGAGCAGCCACTGCCTCCTGGAAAATGCATTGATGCTTAGGGTGTCCTGAGGGCTTGGCCCTTAGAAGGATACTGCTGCTCTGGAAGGGGAAAAATAAGAAAAATTAAGAGAAAAACATTAAAAGTTAAGAGGAAAAAAAAATAGAGGTAGCATTGGATAAAGGCTTTTCATCTTCAGAATTTCTTATCCAAATCAAACGTCGTGAGCAACCACAGAGCAAGTGAGCAGCACTTTACAGAACACTTGCAATGTGTTGGCAGCAAGCAGTGAGCACGGGCGGAGAAGGAGGGAGAAGCTCTCTCAGTGGTTTCATTTTAAAAGCAGCTTTGTGGTGAAGCTATCAGGTGCCCTCTGCGCTTTGACCTGCTCTTTTCCCCTGCTGCAGCTTTGCCACGGACTCCTCAGCCCCTTCTGAGGTACCCTGAGCTTTGGGTACAGCTCTGCAGCACCACTTGTGGACCACAGCAGTGCCCTGATGCCTTGCCTTGTGTTGGGAGGGTTAAAATGCCAGCAGCTCCTGGAGAACTGGAGTTCCCTTAGCTCTGTTTTCAAAGGCTGCACTCTAGCCATATGTTCCTGGGTGTTCCTGGTGTTATGAGTTCTGCAGTCTGTGCAGAGGCTCATCCTGTGCCTGGATTCCCATTGCAGCAGCATTCCTCATCCTGCTCGGCCACACACTCAGAGCCATCAGCTCCTTTGCTTTTAATTAGCAGCCTTAACTACCCAGCTTACAGAGCGCTGTGGTTACCAGGGACTCCCTGTTGTGGTTTGCTATGGAAATGAAGGCTGCCCGTAAAAATCCAGGCCTTTGGCACAAGAGGGAGTGAGCAACATGAGAGCAAGGTATGGAAACCATATATCACTTACCTCCCCTGCCTGTTCTGGTCCCTTTTGCTGGAGGGGAAAATGTTGCCATGGGATGGCATAGGATGGCTGTAGGATCACTGTGTGTTTTCTCATGGCAAGCCTGCCCTTTGTTCAGTTGTTGCAGGATAGAATAAGCCATAGGGAATGCCAAGGATGTAAATACGTCTTGTTCACTGATGAGGCTTTTTGTTTTTTTCCCCCTACAATTTGTGTGTTGAAATTAACAGGTGTGTGAGGATTTGGGGGAGAGGGAGAAAGGCAGGCAGGCGAAGCCCTGGGGAAGGGTTTCCCTTATGGCAGCACAGCTTCCTGATGAATGGATCAAGAGCAGCTTGGGGGTGTGGAGGGTGAGAGGCTGGACATGAGCTGGACATGTGCACTCACAGCCCAGAAACCAAATGTGTCCTGGGCTCATCCCCCAGCAGGGGAGGGGGGATTCTGCCCCTCTGCCCCCCTCAGGTGAGACCCCACCTGCAGAGCTGCCTCCAGCCCTGGGGCCCAGCACAGGAAGAACATGGCTCTGTTGAAGCCAGTCCAGAGGAAGCCACTGAGATGATCAGAGGGATGGAGCTGCTCTGCTGTGAGGGAAGGCTGGGAGAACGGGGATTGCTCAGCCTGGGAAAGGGAAACTTCCAGATGATCTAATTTTAGCCTTCCAGTACCTGAAGGGAGCCTGCAAGAAAGATTGAGAGAGATTATTTACACGGGCCTGGAGGGCCTGACAGGACAAGGGAAATGGCTTCACACTGACAGAAAGTAGGTTTACATTAGATGTTAGGAATAATTCTTCCCTGTGAGGGTGGGAAGGCCCTGGCACAGGTTGCCCAGAGAAGCTGTGGCTGCCCCATCCCTGGAAGTGTTCAAGGCCAAGTTAAACAGGGCTCAGAGCAGCCTGGGATAGTGGAAAGTGTCCCTGCCAATGGCAGGGAAACTGGATGGGCCTTAAGGTGTCTTCCAGCCCCGGCCATTCCATAATTCTGTGTTCACATTTTGGAGCAGGAGGAGTTTCCAGTGCCTGGGCATGGGGAGGGTGGGAGAGCTGATTCGCTCTAAGCTTTGAGCAAGCTGTCAGTGCACTGCTAAGATAGAGTCAGTCAGGGAAGAAGACTCCCCTGGCTCTCCACTCCCCCGGCTCTCCACTCCCCCAGGCAGCATTCCCCAGGGGCACCAGGGAAAGATGGGGTATTTTTGGGGAGCGCTCCGGCAGTGGTGCCACGTGTTCCAAATGGAGCAGGTCAGCCGTGCTGGCTCTGTCTAAGGTATCAGTGCGCCTCCAGCCAGAGCAGGTGCTGGGGGAGGAGGCTGGGAATGAGGGGGGGGAGGTACCAGCTGCGTTATTAAGCCTGATCCCAAACCCTTTGAAGTCAATAGAAAAATTATCCTCGACTTTGATAGACTTTGGATTGCGCCTTTTAAGTCATGAGAAAGACATTCACGTTATTAAACCTGCAGCAGAACGCGACTGTTGGTTACATATGCTTTTATTTTTTAATGGCAGTGGTAGGCTTAGCCTTGGGCACTATCTGAGACTCATAAATAACCCATGTCAAGTGGAACACACCTACTGAACAGCCACAGAAGACAGAGGACTTGGCTGTTTATCTCCCTGCATTTTTCAGTAACGAGCCACTTGTACGTTAGGAGGGGTAGATGTCCTCTAGCATTCATTAATAAAGCATCCCTAAACAGCCAGGCTTCTCCTTGATCATGCAGGGCTAATGCGATAAATATCTTCTTTCCACACTCTGCTGACAACTGAAAGGCAGGAATGCAGTCTAACTCACCATGTCAGTCAGGCAGGAATATGACAGGGCTGAGCTCTCCTTCACATCTGTCATGTCGAGGTCCGGCACCCGCTTGCTCCCAGAGCAGGGAGACTTTCTGGGAAAGCATTCCCAGCACAGCGCTGCAGTTACCTCCCGTGGCTGTGGGATAGGTGAAACCCCATGGGAAAAACGTTCCAGGTCACAGTGGATGGGGCTTGGGACAAGCTGGTGTACAGTGCACTGCCCCTGCCCACGAGATGTCCCTTCCAAGCCAGTCAGCTCTAAGAGTCTATGATAAATTCAGAATAATTTCAAAATATTATTTCACAGGGATGTGTATGCAATTCCCAGCCTCTTTGGTCAGCAAGGGGAAATTGTTGAAGGTCAGATGCCACCATCAAAATAGCTTGGGGACCACCAATTGCCCTCAGGACCCAAAATGGGCCTAAAAAGCATCTGAATTTCTTAATCACTGCTTTTATACAGTGTTTTGATTTTTTCCCCCAGTGGCTCATTCCAGCTGGAAGGCCTTATGTGAATTTACATCACTGATATATATGTGTGTGTGTGTGTGTGCATGCGTGCAATTTTATATTACTGATATATATGTAAATATACATGACGTATATATATAAATATATACTGATATCAGCCATGCAGCCATTGACCTGTCCCACTGCTGCAGGCACAGAGAAGCACTGGTTTAATTCAGGCAGCAGAGAATTGCACCAGGGACTGAAGTTAGACCCTTACATCACTTGCAACACAGCAGTCCTTGAGAGCCCCCGATGTCTGTGAGCTTGTGTCTGGGCTTTTGCTCAGCTAACGTGTCCCACCTCTTTCCCAGCATGCAGGCATCTCACCCGAGCCCTCCTGGTTTTGGAGGGGGCAGGACAGACTCCCCTGCTGTGACTGTAGTGTACAGGTATTTTTCTTCTCTCCCCCAGCCCTGTGTTGATACTCATTCTCTCCCTTTCCACCTCTGCCCCTCACTAATGACAGAAGAAGGCTGAATTCCTGAAAGGCCTGGCTGCTCCGAGGCTGACACAGATGGCTTAGCTCAGCTCTCTGCCCCCATTTTATTGTGCTGCTTTAACTGCATGGCACAGCCAGGGCTTCCTGCTCAGGAGGTTTGAGATGGCTGGTGGGAAACACGTCTGTGATGGGCTGTGTTTGCACAGCAGGATTACTGGGGATGCCTGGTCTAGAGCAACCTCAAACACTGAGCCAAAGCCGGTTTGCTTCTAAGCTATTTAACCCTTTAAAAGGAGAAAAAAGAAATAAAGGAGGTCAACCATGAAAGAGAATTTAATAATTGCAGCTCATACATAAATATTTGCTGCTTCTCCCAAGTGCATGATTCCTCTACTTTCTCTTGTTAAAGAGGACTACCCATGAGACTCTTGGTTTAAAAATATTCCTGTTTCCAAAGCCTTTTAAGGAGTTTATATAGTCCATATTGCTGTGGGGGAGGGACAGGGAGAGAGGCCAGAAGGGGCCTGGATATACAGAAGCAGCTCTTTGTCGTGTTCTCTATTCCCTGGGTCAGGGTGCAAAGGAGACCCCCTTCCTCCAAATTGTTCCCTGTCTCCTTCCCCTCCTGCCCCCTGGCCTGGCAGGAGCCAGAGCAGCAAGCCAAGGTCTGTAGGTATTTTTTCCCCTTCCCAAGCAGCTTTCTCCTGGCAGCAGCCCCGTGCCATCCTCAGGGCAGCGAAATTCACGGAGGAGCACAGTGAAATAGCATCCCCGTAACTGGGAGTGTATTTCCAGGCAGCCCTGCTGCAGCAAGGGCGGGATGAAGGACAGAGCTCAGGCTGCAGCTCCTGCCTTGCCAGTTCAGCGTGTGAACTGGGCTACAGGAGCCAAAATAGGAGGGAGCAGACAGGGCTTCGGCAAGAAGCTGCTTTAGGGGAATGTGGATTAATCCCCCTCCTTAGCCCCTCTTTAAATGATCACAGGCTGGAGGGTATTTTAAAAGAAGCTAAAAGGAAGACACTTCACTGCTTTATCCCCATGGCTTTGGATTTTCAAAGGAATTTGAGTATCCAGAAAGACTTTTTTACTCTGCACAGGCCATGCATTCTCAGCAGTCTCCTTTTCTTGTGCCATCTTTTCATCTCCCTGATCCCTTTCTCCCCCACGCTGAGCCACATCTGGCTTTCCTGAAAGCAAAGCCTCAAAAAAAACCCCATACTTTTGAAGCATTCAACCTGTTCCAGCGCTCATTTTCCCTCAGAGAGGTTCGGACGTGCAAGGACAGTCCTCTGCAGCAGAAACCTTAGAGTAAAAGTGTTAATTGCTGAAGGTTTGGGGTTTGGTTTTGCTAACCACAAGTGCAAGTGGAAACAGCCTCATAGGATACAGTTGCTCTGAGAGCTGGCAGGTGTTAAATAGCACACCCAGGGCTCCAGCATCCTCCGGCTGCTGGGCTTTGTGGTGGTTTCTGACTAATAGGCGCCAGCTTCACTTCTACCTTTGAGGAGTCTTGGCAGATGCTCACTGAACCACCCCCAAGGCTCCAGTCGTGCTAAGTTAAAACCTTGTTCAGCCCCCGGGAGGCACAGGCCATCCCACCAACTGATGTATCAAATGGGGCTTCTCCGACACCTTAAAAGCAGCTTTCCACTTTCTTGCGTGTGGGCAGAAACCCCAAATCCTTACGACGTCTATATGAAACTGCCTCTTTCATGTCGAGCAGTTTCCATCCAAGACATTGAACTGAAATTTTATTTTGATGTACCACATGTGCCTGAGGTTAGTTCCTTACAGGGCAGGACATGGTTGCACAAAGCAATAAAGAAGCAAAACTGACTCGGTTGTTTTCCCTTTCAGAAAACAGGTCTTTTCTAAGGACTCTTTAAACATCTCCCTTCTCCCCTCAGCCTTCTCTTTCCACCTCCTGATGTTTTTCAGGTGTAGGGACAAAAGTCTTTGTGAAATGCAGGCTTGCTGTATTTCTAGCACCAGGAGCCCCAGTGGGACAATTGCATGTGTAGTGGTTGGGAGAGCCAAAGCCTGGCCCTGCTCTGCTTTTGTGTCCATAATCTTGTGTGTACAACAGGGCTTTTGTAATACAAGAAGTTCAAGATCAGGAACGTTCCAAGCTTCCCTTTTAACTTCTAAACAAAAAAAGAAAATATGGGACAACTGAGAAGTTCCTGGTTTTCCCAGATTTCAAGCATTTTACTTATATGAAGAGGGTTTGGAATG